CAACCTTCCCAGACATGTTTGGCTCCAATCGCACTGCACACAAATCACATGTAATTTGAACAGGAATGCAGTGCGGTTCCTGTGCAAATCACATGCGATGTACCGCACCGCATATATGTGAACCCAGGCTTAAGGCTGCTGTAGAATTCAACGCCAATGTGAAATAGTCCTTAAGGCAAGGCCAGCACTGCGAGTGTCTGCTGGGATAAGTGATTCAAAATGAGCTGCATTTGTGTGTCACAATCATGCTACACAGAGGATGGATCATATAGCTGCTAACTTAGGTTAATAGGTAAATGAAAAAAGGTGTTCAAACCTCATTTAGATATAAAGTGACCATGTCAGTCTGCATTTCACTTCTCTGTATCAGTCTGTCCTGCAGCTGTAAAAAAAAAACAACAACATATCTTATTATTCGTATTATGTTAATATAAGAAGGTTAAAGTCTCCTGTCACCATTTGGTGATGATGATCTGGGTTAGTATTTGTCCCTGTAGCTGGATCATAACCATGTCACTCCACTTCCTCAAATTAAACCTTTCCAAAGCCGAGCTCCTAATTTTTTCCCCCCAGCCCAATGTGGTAGACACCCCCCCCCCCCCTCCGTCACGACCAACAACGCCACCATCAGTCCCAACCCACAAGTCAAAGTCCTAGGTGTCACTCTAGACTCAAACCTGTCGTTCCGACCCCATGTCCAATCGCTGGCAAACTCATGCAGGCTCCACCTCCGCAACATCTCCAAAATACATACGTTCCTAACCCCAGACACTACTAAACAACTCATTCACTCCCTTATTATCTCACATCTGGACTACTGCAACTCCCTCCTCACCGGCCTACCCCATCACAGACTATCCCCGCTTCAGCCTATCCGGAACTCAGCGGCCAGACTCATCCACCTTACCAACCGCTCCACATCTGCTACCCCCCTCTGTCATTCCCTCCATTGGCTTCCGATTGCCCAACGCATTAAATTCAAACTACTAACATTGACGTACAAAGCCATTCATAACACTGCCCCAAACTACCTCACCGACCTGATACCCAAATACCACCCAACCCGTACTCTTCGCTCCTCACAACACCTCCTACTTTCTAACTCCCTGGTCTCCTCCTCCCACGCCCAACTGCAGGACTTCTCCAGGACTTCCCCCGTCCTCTGGAACTCACTACCCCAATCCATCAGACTGTCACCCACCCTCCTCACCTTTAGGCACACCCTGAAAACCCATCTCTTCAGGAAAGCCTACCCCACCCTCACCTAACAGCCGATCTCCTCTACTCCTCCCACCACTCCATCCCCCACAGCCACTTCCTCCTGTACCACTATCCCCTCCCTCCTAGATTGTAAGCTCGAAGAGCAGGGCCCTCGAACCTCTCGTGTATTGTTTTGTTACTGTATTGTCTCATGTACTGTCCCCCACTATATTGTGCAGTGCTGAGCAAACTTTTTGGCGCTATGTAAATACTGTATAATAATAATAATCTGTACTTTCACTGTACGATGCCTAGGATGGCACTTTCACTGCACTCCAGATGCTTTTAATGATGTTATAATTATTACAAAGAGAAAATAATATTTTTTTTGAACAGAAAGATTATTTTTGCAACAGTATTTTTGAATTCTGTATCTTGTACCCATATATCTGATTGGGGACTATCCTAACTATTAAGCCTACTGTCTCCAGTCACCATGACCAGACCTAATATGCAAAGAAAGTTGATCATTAAAAGGACGAAAGTTTTCCAGGTGTACTACATTTTATCCTAGTCGAGATTCTTGAGTGTTGATCCTCACCCATTGTTGAGAGAAGTGTATGTTCAGTAATTCCAAGCTTTCAGTGCACAAAACAGGTTGGCCCACCATTGCCAGTCAAAGCCTCCTTTGTTTTATATTATGCAGTATTTAGGCATAGGAAAATATTTTGCCCTACACATCAAACAACTAGTTACAATAATATTGTTACAATTTACAGTATATATCAATGATTTATCAATTATTTAAACAGGACCTGCTGTCTGAGCTTCTGGAGCACAGTGTGTCAAAATGACAATCTTGCTGATATTAGTGAAAGAACAACTGCAGTAGGAAAAGAACACAAGGACCCACCTCCCTGGGAGATGAAATACAGTTTTTTTAGATGTACCTCTTATGTCCAATTTTCTTAACTGGTAAAAAAAAACAAAAAACAACCTAACTCCATGCAATGACAACATGCAAAGTATAGTAAGTTATAGTAGCTAATCCAGATTAATTTTTCTTGCAAAGTAAAGGCTACTTTGCCTGGTTTCCAGGTACTATGGGTTACTGAAATCCACACCTCATTTTTAAGACTGTTGATAAAAATTATAGCACACGTACACCTTTCACTTCCAAGAATAATAGATATTCTCAACCTAGCTATCAATATTTAATTCTTTTGTACATTTTAGTAAATCCTTTAAGGAGGTATATAGGAAAATTGTACAACCCAGAGGAAATAAACAATGCATGGATAGACCATATAGATTCCATATAGACAGATTCTCAGATATGAAATGACCCCAAGAACAGATGTAGTAATGCAGATATGCTAAGCAATGAACCACCACCGTGCCCCACATTATTATAATTTGTTTGTGCAGTGGCCTGAAACATTCAACTTTTTGATGTATGCTAATAAAATATTTGTTGGTAGACATCCTTACCTTCCTTACTGTACTTTTGATCGGAATGTGTCCAGACAGAATCTTCACTTCTATAACAACCATATTAGTTCTTTCCCTGGTTCCAGTGTAGCTGTGAAAGTATAAAAAAAAAAAAAATACAGGGCTAGAGTGAAATAATCTGTCATTGCCCTTTAATACTTTAGGATAATTTTCAGGTAACATGACCATTTTGAGTAGTTTCCAACAGCAGCAACACCCATTAGTAAGCAGGTGCCACACTTTGCCTGCCTGACACACATTGAGTTAGCTATCAGCTATCATTTCTGTGTGTGATGTGATCTGATAACCTGGAAGGGAACCATTTACTGAAAAATACCAGATTGATCTGTATGCACTGGCTTTATTTTTATAGCCCCCCCCCCCCAAGTGTTTTAGGGCCTGTGTTCAAGAATCTCACCACAAAGTCTCTGGGATCCCATCAGTACAAGAAGTGAGGCAAAATCTTTCCAACAGTAACACAGGCAAAAATATATTTTTCAATTGAATGAGTTAAAACTTTTAGGAATGTTTTATTTACTGTATTTATTGTACGATTCATTAGAAAATTATGGCCATGTTATACCCTAAGGTTTTAAATGGGTCCCCTGATGAATAATCGAAAACAGTAATAAAACTCACGCAGCACTGATGTGAATCTCAAAATTTGTCACTGGATCCCCCAGACACTCTCTGTTTGAATGTGTTGTCACCTTTAATGAAAAGCTGGTGTCCCTTCTGGTTGGAGGGACATTGTATCTCAGAACTGCCTGTGAGGTGAGCACAGAAAATCGAGTTTGAGAATGACTATAACTGAGAGAAAAGAAGACAGAGAGTTGGTTTCCTCTTACCTGTACAAATACACAGCCATTCCCTATGGCGGAAACCGCATAATCTCCATTAACAGCCGGTAGCGATGCTCTCTGAAGGAGGAGGCGGTTGTTTTGGTCTACATGGAACTTCTCCAGAAATCCTGAGCTAGCACTGACATTCAGAGTCATATCACCCTTATCACTAAATGTGAGCTCGGAATACTTGGCCAGAGCTTGGAGAGCCACAACTGTGTCCTACATGGAATAAAAATGATGTTTGTGAAGGCCTTCTCTAATGAAGTAGCAGATTTCAGATTGTGTTCAGTTCCTGCAACTAACATATTGTTTATAAAGGAAAGCCTTTTTAAGCATTGGGTGATAAAAAAAGAAAAAAAACATTTGGCCATTTAGGGCAAGGTGATCAAACTGAAAGCCTGCCCGCTGATACCTTCACAATGGTCCCCTAATATTGTATTCATCTGTTGGAGCACTAGAAATACCAGGTTAACATTTAGGTATGAGGGCATTAGATCATCAACCTAAACACTGTCACATGGGGTAGAAGAAAAGATAACCTGTAATGTTTCCCTAAATGGACAAAGTGACAGATTTTATTTATGATCCAAAAAAAAAACAACAAAAAAATACAATAATCAACATATAGTTTAAAAAATTCCTCCACTAATGCTGACTCCACCATTAAATCCAATCTCCATTTTTCCCAGATTTTTTATTGTACACTCAGTTTCATGCCAAACAGTGGTGTTGCCAGACCAGTGCTGGGTTCTTCATATATTTCTATGAAAGATCCATTTTGATGAGTGTAGATGTGTTTACTTGGGTATCAAGCCCCACCAGTACATTTTTAGGATGTCAGAAGTTTTGCTTATGCAGTTTAAATTTTTATCTTAGGTTTTAGGTGCATACAGTATTACAGGCTTTAGTATGCATAAGTTCTGATGCAAGAGGCTGCTCAAAGGAAACCTGTACCGAAGGAATATAGGCTGCCATTGATATTAATTTTTCTTTAATCTCTTAATGCTCTATTCAATGCCAGGTGCAGAAGGGTATGAAGTAGTATGTGACTCAAACATGGGACAGCACTTGGTCTATCAGTACTGTGAGAGTGGATTCCATAGCATAATGGGAGCTACAACACCATGACTTACAGTATAGCTTATGTAGAGCTTCCCTTTAACTCCTGTCAACATGAAAGGAAGGTAGGTATATTTGTGGTCTGCTGAGGTCTACTTTAGCCAAGCAGGTGCACATTTCAAATCTAGCTCTAACCATGGCTTTACTGGGGTTGAACAGACAGGGCATCTGGGGTGCTGAGACTTATTTTCCTCCAGTCACTGAGACATTTAACAACCAGAGTTCAGCCATAATGGTATAATCATGTTTTGGCGGACTTGATCCTTAGTGAAAATGGCAATGGGATATGTAATGCACTGGAATGCTATCAGTCACCTGTGTAGATGAGAAGCCTCCATAGGGGTTCTGCTGTTTGCTTAGCCAGTTCACAATCTGTGTAGCTTTGGCCAGGTCAGGTTTAGGTCCAGAGAGTAGAGCCAGGAGCACATAGGAGGTCATCTCTACCTCAGCAGATGGAGCTCTGTACCAGTATGAATCTTGAATGGGAGGAGCAGAATCCCGTTCCCAGTGGAGCTGTCCATCTGTAAATACAAAGACACTACATAATTACACTATGATCTTGTCTTTTGCTATAGTACTTTACTATAGGTTTTGCAGGATCTCTGTGGTATTTGGATTGTCATCAGCCATTACAAGAGAAGGACACTGGAGCTCGCATTTAAGGGGAATTCAACCACAGCAAAGTTAGAGTTGGGTTTGACAATTATACCTAATTAATGAAGGCAATTCTCCCCATATCTCCCTCCCCCCCCTCCCTTATGGCTCCTCCATATGGCTCAGTCCAAGGTTTTAGATGGTGGTCTGAAAATAGACATTAGTTATCTCAAACCACAATTCACTGCCAAGTGCTAATCCTTTGTCAAACACAATATGGCCAAAATGAGTATTAATAAGGGATTGGCAGCCTCTTTGAGGCTATAACAGCCTTCACTCTTCTGCAAAGGCCTTCCATGATATTTTTAAGTGTAGACTAAAATGCACAATAGGGGCAATCTGTTGAGAATAGTGGGACGAACACAGGTTATGGAGAGTGCATGTGGGAATGTGTTCCTATTCAGCCAAAAGAGCATTGCTGAGGTCAGGTACTGAAGATGGACAAGAAATCCTGGCATTATATCAGTGTTGCAATCCCTCCAAAAGGTGTTCAGTAAGGCTGAGGTCAGGCCTCTGTGTCGGTCACTTGAGTTCCTCCACTAAAATCATTAAGCCATATCTTTAAGCATCTGGTTGTGTATACCGGGGCAAAGCCATGTTAGAACAGAAAACAGCCTTCCACAAAAATTGCTGCCACAAGTTTGAAAGTGCACAGTTGTCTAAAATGTCTTTATACTGTATGGTTTAGTTTTGACAGTAATCATTACTGGAATTGCCTAAACTCCAATATTTGGAGAGATGTCCACAACGTTTTAACCATATAGTGTATAATAAATGTTTGGTTTCACTAATATCTATAGTGTTTTAAAATTTAATAAAACATACCTTTTACAACGTATAAACATTAATAATATATATTGGCCAAAACCCCATTTTTTAATAGGTTTTTCACTTACAGGGTAATTATCATTGTATCTGATTCTTTCCCCCTTTTAGTAATCAGCACACTCACAGTTTCAGCCCCAACAGAAGAGTGGTGTAAAGAAGGATTGCAATTGAATAAATGTAATGTTAAAAAAAAAAAAAAATCAGTTAAAGTATACGATGGGGTTGAAGGCAAATAGGCTGTGCACTGCAAGTTCACTTGAAGTGCACTTGGAAGTGCACTGCAAGTGCACTGAAAGAGCAGTTGCTCTAGATCTGAGGGGAACATGCAAGGAAAATAAAAAAAATAGCATTTTTGCTTGTACATGATTGGATGAAAGAAATCAGCAGAGCTTCTCCTCATTTCATAGAGCTGCCTCTTGGATCTAAAGCAAATGCACTTGCAGTGCACTTGAAGTGCGCTTGCAGGTGCATTTGTGGTGCACCTGCAGTGCACAGCCTATTTACCTTTAGTAAATCAACCCCAATGACTTCTGCCTGGAATCATTTTAGTAAATCTATTCCTCACCTCCTCGTACAGCTTTTTCTTCCAGTTTGTCCAATACAGCTGCCCTGAGCTCTGTCTCTCTGCACAAATGTAAAGGTGTAGGCCAGCAGAGCCAAAGTGTATACACTGTTCACATCCACAGCAGCCTTCCGCAGACAGGACACTGCGTCTCTAACCAGAGGATCCTAGAAATAAATTGACTAGTATGAAATTTCAGTATTTGCTAAAATAACATTGGGAAGAGTAATCAAGAGGATAAAGATGCATGATGCCTCTGATGTGATCTACGTATATGACTAAAATCTGCAATTTTTTTAAATACATTTTAAGTAGAACTGCAGCCAAAATTTTTTTCTCAGTTTAGAAATAATGTCATCTGTGTCTCTTGCTGGAAAAACTTCTTATAACTGTCTGTGTCTGTGACACTCAAGGCATTGCTGTGAATTGAATTTTCTGTTTACCCTCCCTGGAATGTATTTTCTATACAATCCACTTGAGACGGTAATGGTGGCATTTATTCTCTATTTGATTCTGACTTTGAAAAGTATGGGCAAGGTTTTCCAAAGAAGGACAAGAGATAGTTCAATTCACAACCCTGGTGGTCAAGGGAGCACAGAGTAAAGGGACATCCCAGCAACGGATACACAGATACTAATAAAAAGCTGTAAGAGGTGCTAATTCTTCCCCTCTCTATACAAAACCAAAAAAAGGATCTGGCTGAATACCACACAGGTTGAATCATTGATCATCATCCAGGAACTGTTTGCTTTTGTTCGGGCTTTTGAAAATGATGATCTAGTGGTCGACAGGCAACCACCTGTCTCCTGGTAACCAGTGAAGCTGTGCAGCCCAACACCCTAGCAACTGACCAGTGAGACGTTGTCATTCAGTGGAGGTAGTGATATCAGCAGCTGGAGGTTTGGCAGGTGGGCAAACTGGCCAAATCTGTTTTTTTTTAATTTGCCCATTTGGTGAACTGTAAACAGCTTTGGTTGAACTCATGGCTGACCCAAATCTAAAGCTCATCCCTAATTTCCATAAGGTAAATAGTTAACAACCACCTAAAAAATGCTTATTTTGTCATTATGTAAGTTGATCCTATTCTTACCCCACTAGTGGTCATATCGGATTTCCTGCTTGGGCACAAATTGATTAGATAGAAAAAAACATGGAAGGGAGCTGCTATAGGCCCAGTTGTCTACCCGTGCTCAGGGGTGATGTGATGTGACGGGGATGGAACACCAGTGGCCAACTGTATACACATTCTAACAGCACCTACCATTAAGCAATTGATTGAAGAAAAACAGTTGTTGTGCTTGGAAGCAACATTGCAAGATCACTTTTTCTCTTGGTTAGGTACAACATATACAGGTATGTAACAATATTTTTGCTGATGATCACTTACCTCAAGAGATGTACCAGCCTCTATTAGAGCCATTGTCACATAAGCAGAAAGGGAGACATCATCTTTCACTCCTCCCTCCCTGTAATGAAGATCAATGGTTATGTCTAACATGTACAGACTAAAACTTTGCTGAACCAGCTTAATTAAAAGAAAAATACTTTTTATTTTATTTAAGAATGAACCCACTCCCCAGAAAGTTGTACAGTCTTTGTTTCAATCACAACACTGAGTTCTTATCCCTGCAAATCATTTTTTTTAGTTGATTGGGTCAGTTGGTTTTGAGGACATCTGATGGACATGAAATTTCTGTAAGATTTTGATATAAGCAAGTGTTTTTTGTATCTCTTCTACCAAGGAGCTAGGACCCAAATTGGTTACATATATTTATGTTACTTTCCAAAAAAGCGTTCTTGGCCAGCTAAAGAGTGTAGATATGTTAACAAATTTCATTATGTTCATAGCTCCTATCTCTTTATTAAAGTGTATATCTGGACAAAATAATAACAAAAAAAAAAGATTCCTTTCATCTCTGGAATACACGAACCCATCCCCATGTTTTGTCTCTTTAACCACTTGCCCTCCAGATGATTTATCCCATTTCCTGCCCAGGCCATTTTTTGTGTTACTTTAAATGACAATTGCACGGTCATACAATGCTGCATCCAAATGAAATTTAAGTCCTTTTTTCCCACAAATAGAGCTTTCTTTCTGTGGTATTTGATCACCTGTGTGTTTATTTTTTGTGCTATAAACAAAAAAATACTGACAATTAAAAAAAAAAAATATAAATACTTTTTGCTATAAAACATATCCAGTAAAAAAATGTAAAAAAATCCAATGACATTAATACAGTGATCAGTGCTAATAAAACGCACTGACACTGGGCCCATATATATCATGATTGCTCTCCTCTTTGCTAAAGGGGTTGTGGCTCTATGGGCAATTTATATCACATATTATGGAATTGTAAAAGTATTTGCAGCTTTTAGCGTAACATTTTCAAAATTTTGTCAGATATATCAGCTATATTAACCCCCCCAATCCGGGCTTGGCCATACTAAACTTGGGAATAGACAAATTCCCCTTCTCTTATTGCAAGATTGTAGCAAACCTGTTGCTATCTGTTAATTTAACCATTACCAGACACTGGAAAAAGGAATTAACCCCCAATCTGTCAGAGGCTGTTTATACTACTCTCAACAACACTATTCTTATGAACGTTTGTTAGCTATCCAAAATGACACGTTACCTGCATTTGAAAAAAAACTGGAAACCTTGGCTCATATGGTATAAAACTTGGTGATACTGAAATTTTACATGGGATTTAGGTCTCCTATACGTACACAAATGTACTATGCTGCCATTCTAGGTCATACTTTGTATGTGAATACCCCTGTATTTGCTCCCTTCTTTCTTTATCTTCTCCCCTCCTTCTGACGTGCTGGAGAACTTGTACTGATCATTTGACTCTGATTTCTGTAGGACCACCTGTATAATGTTTATGTTTTTTTATGTTCCATGACCATTATTCTGTCCAACATGTTTACTAGTGGTTTATGTCATATCATACAACAATGACTACATCCGCATGTTATGTATGTAATTTGAAACATTTTCAATAAAAAATCTAACGTTAAAAAAAAAAAAAAGAAAGCACTGACACTGTAATAATGACACTGGGCTGGAAGGGGTTAACATCTGGGTGATCAAAGGGTTAACTGTGTGCTGTGTTTTACAACATGTGCTGTGTGTGTTTTTACTTGGGAAACATGCTGCTGTGTATTTCTCTGCTGTGCAAATACAGAGAAATACACAGCAGCATGTTCTTGCTGGCAGGAGAGAGACCTGTGTTGTTTACACACAGGTCTCTCCCCTGTCAGTGTTCCTTGGCAATCGCCAGGTGCCAGCGGAAAATTTCCGGCTGGGACCCAGTGATTGACATCCGTAGCCGCCAATGGTGAAGCGGGTAGTGTGATGCGCACGCGCTCCCCCTACCCGGAAATGCAAATCATGTATATATACACATGCTTTGCACAGCCCTGCCACCCTGTGGCAGTATTTCTGCTATAGGGCAAAGAGGGCAACTGGTTAAAAACACTGCAAGCACAGAAAAATACATTATGATTCTGCCAGAAATCCGGTGAACTCCTAACTTCCTCTAGTGAGCTGACAACACTTCTGCTGCACTAAAATCCAAAGCAATGTTATCAGCCCTGTTGTGCTACACAGCATCTCCCCTCTTCTAATTTCCATAACATAGGGGGAGATGCTCTGTAGTCTAGCATAGGTAAACTAAGCAGGGCTGATAACACTGCCTGGGATTTCAGTGCAACAAAGGCAGAGTTCTCAGCTCGCTAGAGGAATTTTGGTGCGCAGGCGATTTCTGGCAGGGTCATCTGATATTTTTTGTGAACGTGCATTGTTTTTAAAGAAAAAAAACAGTGGAAAATGTGCATACATTGCAGCATGCTTTTTTTTTTTTTTATTTTGCCTAGACATACAGTTTAATAAAGAAATTGTTACGTCTTCAGGGGTGAAGGTGTTGTTGGTGCTGTGGGGAGCTGATTGTAAGTTATTGGAGTAGGAAGCGGTTATAATTTATAATAAAAAAACTGTACAAACTGTTAAACTTATACAAAAAAGTTTTCTTACTCAAGAACTGGAAACTGCTGATAAGGAGTGTGGAAAATGCTAGAGAGTCTTTCAAGAGTACGTCCAGAAATGATGGTCCAAGCAAACAAAACATCAAAATTTGGACATTCATGAATGTGAACATAGAAGGTACTATGTCTTTATATACTATAACCATGTCTATGGTAAACATTGTATCACAATTTACATGTGTCATTTTGTAAGAATGATATTAAAAATCACCTGCATAGCAGTATTTAGCAGTCTCCCTACATTGCGGAAGCAGCCAGTCTCTTTACGAATATTCTGTAGCCAAGTAAACGATTGCTTTAAGTGACTTTCATCTATAAATATGTAAGGCCGCCCTTTGCTAAAGGACTTCACTACGAATGCAGATAACCTGTAGGATAGAGGAACAAACGTATTTAGTAGACTTTATTATTATATCCTCAACCAATAATCACATTATACTTCCTCAAAGACAATTATGTAAAACTGAGCAACTGGTGACCTGTGGATCATAGGATACCTAAGCATTGGCAGTAAAACCAGAGCCAATGATCATCCATCGACAAGTGTGGCGTACACATGGGGTTCCATTGCAGGAGCCAGCAGCAGCAGCTCTGCAGTGAACGATCTATTCATATCTCCTCTTTAACATACTGTACATTTTTTTTTTACTTTTGGTCTCTTTACACTTGCATTCAGAGGGCAGTAAAAAACAACAAAAACACATGGCTGGGTGACGTTTTAACCACCCCCCAAGGGTTCAAACTTTTGTTTTATTGCTGTCTGCGCCCCCCACTGGAGCTTACACTTTGTTACAAACAAAAAAGAAAGTACTTGACTGGAGTGTCCCTTTAAACACTGGTCTGTTATAACAACAAATGTAATTTATTAGACTGAAAATTCTGCTTTAAGATAAATTGTAAAGAATTTGACAACTTTTGATGTTTCAAAGTATTGTTTGTGTTCATCTTTTTAACTAAAAGTGAACCCAAAAATGGAAAGGAAAAAGGATACACAATATAGAGTATCATGTTTTACAAGTGGAAAATTGAGGGTTACACTTCCAATTAAATAGTACATGAGTCGAGCTTCCAACATATCAGTTGATTGGGGCAGAGGTTAGCTAACTTACTATTACACACCTCAAAACATCAGCCCCAAGCTGGTGGATCCTTAGGACGGTATCAAAAATGGGGGGCTAGCCTCTATACCAGGAGTTTCCAAACTCTTTAAACAAAGAGCCAGCTTACTGTCTTCTAGACTTTAGCGGGGTTGGACTGTGGCCACTGGGAGCAAATAATGCCTCAGGGTTGGTGGTCAGTAGAGAGTAAAAAAATTACACAGCACCCCTGTGGTTAGGAGGAGAAGAAATAGTGTCCCATCATTGGTGTCATTGTGTTATTGGTATTAGGGGAGGAATAGTGCCCATCATTATGTTAGTGGGAGGAATACTTCCCCATCATTAGTATTAGTGGGAGGAATACTTCCCCATCATTGATTTAGTGGAAGGAATAGTGCCCCATCATTGGTATTAGTGGGAGGAATAGTGCCCCATCATTGTATTAGTGGGAGGAATAGTGCCCCATCATTGATATTAGTGGGAGGAATAGTGCCCATCATTGGTATTAGTGGGAGGAATAGTGCCCCATCGCTGGTGTTAGTGGGGAGAATAGTGCCTCAATGTTGGTTTCAGTTGGAGGAATAATCCCCCCATTGTTGGTGTTAGTGGGAAGAACAGTGTCCCATCCATGGTGTCAGAGGAAAAATGTATGCCCCATCTTTGGTGTCGGTGGGATAATACTCCATTGTTGGAGGCAGTGGGAGGAAGAGTGTCTCATATCAGTGAAAAGAATAGTGTCCCAGGATCTGGATAACGGCAAGCAAAGGGCCGCAGTTTGGAGACCACTGCTCTATACTTTAAGCTAATTCAGGATGGTATCTCTAGTTAGGAGGGGACATAGTGTACAAGTTTGTTTTGCTTTTGAAAAAAAGGCAGATATGAACCCTGAAAACAAGACCATGGGAGCAGATTGCACAAACTATTTGTAGACTTTAAGAAATATGCTATTTTTTACTGAAGAGCTGAAATGATGATCATTTCTAAAAAAAAATGGCCATTGTTTATGATACATAGTTTTGCAAATTAAACATTGCTAGTTAGGATTTGGATCAATTTTATGAGCTTTATTGTCTGTCAAAATAATATAAATCATGGCACTCACCATGTGTTACCCTCAGGGTCACCCTTTCCAAAGGCACTGTATGAACCATCATCACGCTTGTATGTTAGCTGTCGCTGATATCCTAAAGAAAACACATACAAATTGTAAATATTTAAAACATTTTACAAGAAACGTATGCAATATGTAATCTGTGTAACCAGCACTAGACAAAATAGTAAGTGCTCTAGTATCAAGAGTCTGCAAATTTTACTTATTTGTAGATTCCAAATTAGTCATTAGGTGGCCAGGCCTATAAAACATTATACCTTATGTGACAGTATGGTGCCCTATCATGATAAAACAAACAAACAAAAAAAAAAAAAAAGTTTTGTATCACCAGGGTTCTCTCCCAGGCAGGTTGAGGGGCTCCAGGGTGCTTACGTCATATCAAGGAAACTGGACTTTCAGTTTCCTTGAAGATTGGTAAAATTCAATTTGGGTCTTGCAGTCCGGAGGCTTCGAATAGACTTAGGAGGGATGACGTCTCCAGTCCTGGGTCCAGGTTTTGACAGCAATCAGCACACTGATTGTGCAAGTGTGAACAGGATTTTTGTGAGAAAGGTGACTGTAGTTCATGGCTCCACCTTGGGGGAGAGAAGAGGCCTCTTCCCAGAAATAAGTGTTTAGGCTAGTGCAGAAGGTTGCTGCAAGGTATACAGAAGTGAATATGTGCACAAGAGTGTATTTGAGAATTGTTGACAGGAGAGACAGACAAGGGCCTGAAGCATCTGAGACCAGAGAAAGTCAGGAGGCTAGTATGAAGAATTTGTTTTGCTGAGGAATGCTTAAAATCCCTGCAACAGTAACACTTTGTGTGATGTTTCGAAATGTATATTAAATAAAAGTAGGCAATAAAATCCCTAAAACAAAGATTTGGCAAGTGGATTGCATATTTGGAAGTGCTACACTTAAACTAATTTCCCACATTTATTTTATAAAGTGTGACATTTATTTTAGGATTGCTGTAAAGAACATGGGCTTGTATTGCTCAGAGCAAGCAGTCAGAAGTTAGTTTTCCTTTCAATTACATGCTAAAAGATTAAATGGAATCCTATTGGTTGAAAAGACCCTATAACCAGCTTTAAAAATACATATACAAGCTCAGAAAAATTATATTTTACAATTGCTTATTTGCAAAATATCTCCACAATCAATTGATTATTCACTTGCAATGTGAGTTTAAACTAGCTAGCAAATTGACTGCTTTAGAAGAGTAAATTGCTTAATACAGCCCCCTTCATCCTTGCAGATATTGACCTTCGTCTCTTTGGGAAGGATTTACTTACTATCAGTGCTGGCCCGGACTTCATCATTTTTAATGTAGCAGTTGGGGGGAGGACTGAAAAGGGAATAATATAAAGTATCACTTGAGCAGCAGGTCTGGGGCCTTCGAACATTGGCTTCAATATGCATAAAATATGTTACATTAACATAATTTATGGGAAGATTGCTAAAACTAAATGGTCTGGCCATAGTATCACTTTCATATGGACAGCATTTTCCCTAGTCCTTTATACCAAGTTTTATAACTAAACTTCAAAGGGGTTGATTTACTAAAGGCAAATAGACTGCACTTTTCAGTTGCATTATGCAAGGGCATTCGCTCTACAGCTTAGTAAATTAGCTGAAGCTTCACTTTGCAAAGAATATGTAATCAGATGGAAGAAAAATAAGAAACAAAGCATCAGCAAATCAACCCCAAAATGTTAAAGATGTTCCCAACACACTGGTGGCATTTATCAAAGGGTTTTAGATTTACCCAATTTCAATGCAGGTTGTGGTTTCCACAAGAATACATACCATGCTTTCCCATTTTAATGATCTGAGCTTTTAAAGGTTAAAATAAGAAACATAAGGAAATATCCCTACTGAGTTATCATAGTTATCTCTCATCTAATTGGCCTATGCAGACTATTCTAAAAATTTAGAAAGAATTTTGTTATCTTTTTTTCTTTGGCATAGTAGCAGGGGTGACTGGGCAAGGGAAGCCAAAAATTAAAAAAATTGAATTTTATTTTGTATTCAAAATTTTTGTTTTTTGTGTCTTAATATAATGGAGGTGTCTTTTTTTTTCTTACATATCTCTGAATCTAACTATGATCAGCTATTTAGAGCACTGGCAGAAATCATGTGGCCAAATGCTTGGTTTTTGGTTACAGGAGATGTGGGGGAGCTCATTGAATGAAAAGGTAAATATTTCCAGTCCATTATTATTTATTTATACATCTCAGAAAGATAGTTTAAGCAGAGCTCCATCCAAAAGGGGAATTTTTGCTTTAAGGCCTGCTCCCTTGCTCCTGGTAAAGAAATGGGAGCTTTTGGGGGAGCAGGGGGGAGTGGGTACCCACTCCCACTTCCACTTCGACCACCTAGGCGATCGGAAGCCAAAGTTCTCCTCCCCCCTTTCCTCCCCGCAGTCTTCTGGGACATGTGACAGGTTCCAGAAGACTGCCGGACCATTCACAATGTGCAGTGCTACTCGCACATGCGGCTGGGATGCCACAAGCTGTCAAAGACAGGTGCCTACAGTTAAGATGCCGGCACCTGGGACAGGACACTGCTGGAAAGAATGTCTGGGGTGAGCACATTGCTAGATCATGGGACAGGTGAGTGACTGTTGTTAAAAGTCAGCAGCTACAGTTTTTGTAGCTGCTGACTTTTAAATTTTTTTACAGGAGGCTAGAAAACTGCTTTTATGCAAACATTTGAGTATATGTTCACCTTAAAAGTTTGCCCTCATTCCTCTCACTTACATTATCTGACACACTGGCAGGATCTGAAAAAGCAGGCTGCCATTAAGTACATGCAAGACAGCATTAGGAGCATGTCACACATTTGCTGCAAGTCAAAATGCCACCAAAAACACTAAAGAATATCCATGCTGGGAGAATCAGCATAATCTAGGTCGAAGCCTAGTTCATACAGATGGTGCAACCACATCCAACAATGGAAATGTCAGAGTAGGTAGAAAATCACCTTGTGTTTCCTATGGTACTGTAAAAGAAATTGTACATTCTGCGTATAACTGTATTCTATTTTGTATGCTTTGCCTATGTACTGCCCACTGCACTCATTGTGCACAAAGCAATAACTATGTTTACATGTTTGCCTTTCGAGTCCTGATTAGAAATTAGCCTGCCTATGTTACACCTCTTGTTACTATAAAAGTACAATTGTAATATTAATGTGATAGCTACATAATCATGTATAAAAAACTTCAATTGGGCGAATAAACACAACAGTTATTTGGAAAGATGCTTAGTGTATCTTTTTGTGTCTGTTCCCCACTGCAGTAGTTATTATTCATTTGGAACCACTAATCAATATGGGGAAAGGAGTTGCTTATCCAAAAAAATGTTTTTCATTTCAAGTTATTTCAGAAAGTCTCACCACTTTCAAGAAATTTGATGGCTTTGCTCTTAATCTCAGCGGTAAGCTGATGGGTCTTTTCCAGATACTGTAGAATGAAGATATTGGGGGCAAAGAGGACCATGTTCTGCTCTCCACACCCAAATGGCATGGCTAGAAGACGGTCTAGGTTCTGCAATGCGGTGCCCATTATATCTCCTGTAAGGATAAAACAAAATCAAAATGTAGAAATAAATACTGAAAAAACATAAATATGAATATCATGTTCTTTTTATAACTCTTACATTCTCAGTCTTATGTTTTCAATGAAGCATAGCGCACTGAGGCAAAGTAAGAAATTACATTTCAGTTTAAATGTGACTTTTAAATTAACATTTCTTGGCATGAAAATGTATTTTCTGCAGCTACATTTATTCACAATTTTTTGTTTTGTAACATCTTTTTTGATCAGCTGAAAATTGTACAATACTGCAACAGATTTCAGGTATAACACTTCAAAAATATTCAGTCTGTTGATGAGTAAAGTTGTATAGCAGAATCTTACCCAACACAGTCACATACGCTCTTTCAGAGTCTTTCAGGATGTTCTTGGGAAACTGTAGAGAGACCTCTTCTGTCTTAGTATTATCTAGAATAGCAATATGACACTTAATAAAGTTGTACTACATTAAAGCGTCTCTGTCACTATGTTAATGAGATTTAAAAAGAGTCATCCATTTAACTCATGTCCAACTGAAAAAAGTAAAACTAGCCATAAAAGGTTTGAATTTTGGCTGCTTCTTGCTGAATCATCCAAAATTCGAGCCTTGAGTGGCTCTGTCAACACCACCCAGCTTGACAAAATTTGATTTTATCATTGCATGCATAGTTCACTTGAGCAAGCGGGAGAGAAGTTGGAACAAAACGTAGATTAACCACCTGTATTTACAGCCTCCCATGTGAATGAAGCCCTACAGAATGGCTCTTTGATATTTTTTAACATTGCAACAGGAGAGTTCTAAATTTCAAACCAAATAAGTGTATGCACAATGAATTCTTTGAGACACGTGAAACAGCAGCCCAAAATATTTTAGTTACAACAACAAAAGAAATATTTTATTTATATAGTAAAACTTCAAAACTTCTGCTGCGATTGCCTCACTAAAGAAAGTATAAATATCCTTTAAACTCATCAGAAGTGTCCCCTGGGGTCATATACCATGAGCTGAGATGATAAAAAAAGGAGTAGAAAGCATGAGATCTCTCCAAAATTAGGCCAATGCTCTCTTGGAGATATACTAGTGTCAGCATTGGAAGTTTTCTTCTCTGTCGATGATTGGTGGCAATTTTAGGTTTGCCTTTACTTTCACTCTGGTGAAAATGATCACCAAGACAAAGAGAGCAGTGACCCCCCCAGCAGGGACACTTACTGCAATAAAAACCTGACTCCCCATTCAAAGCTAAAAGAAAACCTCTTTTGGCTTTATATACAATTATAATGCTTCAAGAATACTGTGGTTTGCTTATACCTAAATGGTGAAAAAGGTGAATACTTATCATTAACTTTTTTTTTTTTTTTTTATAGACTTTACAGTACAGACAACCTCAATCCAACTGCAGTAGTTACAAAATTTGTAAATGTCTGGTGCTTGGTAGCCCAAGGTAAGTGTGAGCTCCCAAAAAAAGGAGGAACAGAATTCATAGGTAAGTTTTATTATAAGTAGCTGTTAAAAGGAAATGTATTTGTTAATAGATCACAACTAGGTTAATTTAGAAGGTTACAAGTAAGCTCAGGATACAATTGGTGTCCATTTTCCATAATTGTCTTCTCACCTTCTCCTTCCTGGATGCAGAGCAGAGAGCTGTGTGATTTCTCCACCAGGACTCCTCCAGGCTGTCAGTAGAAATAAGACACAATTTAAGGACACATGGCGATAGCATTACAAGTGCACATGCTGAGCAGAAAGAGTGCAAGTTCACCTTGTATTTCTATGTTACATTTTCTATTATTTTTTGGGTGCATTTAAAATATATTGGAATATAGGTACAACACGTCAGTTATTCAATCATAAACCAAGAATGAAATCTAACAAGCTATCCCTTACTTTTACAGTTCTTTTGTCCCTCAAGACCACTTGTAATAGACACAGGTTTCCTTGTACTGTGTATCCAGGTTTACTGTAGAGTAACCCTGCATGTACAAGTGTAACACCCTGCTGTAATGCAAGTTGCAAGATGTTAAGCGAAACACAAGATGGCAGTGTCCTGCAGTTCAGTGGCCTTATGGACCTTTTAGGCTGAACAGCAGGACTTTGTTGGGGAGCAGTGTATCAGGGAACTACATTTCCCAGAGGAGGTGGCATGTGGGGGGGGCATTTATATACAAAAGCACGGGAGACTGGACAGGAAGTGAGTGGTGGAAGAGCAGGAAAGCAGGAGTGAGGAGAGGGGGGTGTGCCAACTTCCAAGTACTGGACCAGGCAGCAAAGCTAGAGAGGAGAGAGACAAGGAGGAGTTGCTGACCGCCAGCCTTGCCACCTTGTTCAGCGAGACATTCTGCCAGCAGGAGACCTGGAGCGTGGTGCCCGGATGGAATGCTGCAAGTAGGACCGGAGAACCTGTGGGGGCCAACATCTACAGAGAGTGAGAGAGACCGCTGGGACCTGAATAATGCCACAGATTGGGTGAGAGAGTTCCATACACCAGCCAAACAAGTAAACATTGACATTCCTTTCAAATCTACCACTTTCCTGCGCACAGTTGCAGACATTGCACATAGTTAACACATGTTGCAGCCTAGTTCCCCTGGCCACTACTACTGAACACAGTTGCAGCATAGTTCAATCATCAGAGCTAACTGCAGTGCATGCCTTCTGCAGGCCAAACCACAGCATTGTTCCCTAAACAATCGGCCTACCCTCTTAAAGGAAAATCTACTACTTGCCATTAGTTACTGCAGCCCAGAGAGGATTTGCCCTTTGCCAGCAAATGCTTCTGCCAACCTCTGACACTTTTTTGCCTAAAATTTGCATCCTGCTTAGTGCATTAAGGGGACACCACCCAAGTACAGTGCTACTTAAAGGGATAACACTTCCTCATCATTTTTTTCTTGTATTACTCCTTTGAGTGACTACCACCTTTATCTTTCCCATTAAAAAGGTCTGGATTGTTGTAGTGCACTAACTTGGCCCCAATGAGCAGAACATTCCTCACTGCATGTATAGGGACGTTGACTAACCTAATTATAGAGCTCTTTTCTATTAAACCTTGCCAGCAGGTCCCGCGGACCCAAAAAGAGTTGAACCTTTGATGGTTGCTCACTGGGGACTAGAAACACTGCAGGTTTGAGGTGCTGGGTTAACTTCTGAATGGCAGGCCTGACAGCACTGATTGCGATTCTGCTGTATGTGTTGTTTCTTTGCCTAGAGTTGCTAAGAGTGGTAGTTGCCATTACGTACATACAATATATAGCACTCTATGCTGTTCTATTCAACTTACAGCCAAGTTTAATATAAACATCATATTAGTTCACTCTAATCTGTGTACGAGTCTATTTTCTGGTGATAATTTACTCTGGTCAGAAGAGTACTGTGGTGTCAGCAGGGGTTGGGCTTTCAGAGAGGGGTCCAGAGCAACAGAGAGCCAAAAACAACTTAACAACTCCTAAGGGGGTAATGCTACATATGGAAGGATCTTATTTTATGGTAACAGTCAGACAGAAATGGATTAGACATGTGTCCTTAGGAATGGCAATAGATCCCCACTCCCCAATTATTTGAATAACATTAATAAGAATAAGACACATGCTCCTTTTGTATAATTAGTAGTGGTATGGTTCCTCCCCATAAGACACAACTACCTAGAAGGGCATCTTCCCTTGGAAATTCCCAATTGTGCTATCCCCTTGGTTTACTGCAGAAGCATAGAGATTGTAGATGGTCCCCCTGGACATCCACCAGGCCCCAGCCGTCTGCCTAGGTTTCCTTGTAGATGAATTGCCTATTGCACATGACTGCACTGCTTTCCCAATGAGAGAAGCCTTAGATAACAAAACTATCTGAACATTGTGGAGACTGTTGGAACAGCTAACCCGACCATTCGAAAAATGTAAACTGAGAGGTTTGGAATTTGACAAGGGTAACATCCAGTTCCTGTATACCTCCAGATGGTCCACAGTGTCAATCTTGCAGTATATATCATTAGACATACTCTTCAGAGTGAGACAAATCCTTTGACTTTATTATGAAATGTCACTAAGGACAAATGCATAAATTTAAAGTGGAACGTTACTTTCTCAATAAACATTTATTTTTAATCCTTATGCTGCTAGCCTTAGTAAATAAAAGGTTATATTATATTTACTTGTTTTAATCTTTTTTTTACATTTCTTTAGTTGCTTTCTGTTTCTTTCCTGAGCCAAAATGATGTCATATATCCCAGGAGTCTTCACAGGGATTTTGTCTGCTTTCATCTGGAAAGGTGGAGGAGAAGCTAAGAACACTCTTGCATGCCTGATCTTGTGAAAGCATACCAGCACGCATCTCATGTATATTGTGTACTGTGTATGTGCAAGATTTTCTAGGGTGTCATCACAATAAGGATGGATTCCAGGAAGTAAATGCTATGTGAATCATCTGCCGTTACTCAAGATGGGGAATTTTCAACCGAATAAAGTATGGAGACAAGTATGCTCAGTTACAGCTAGGTTCTACTGTAAAGAGGTGTATGAGTTTATGGCCACTATACTGAAGCAAAATGGTTTTTAAAAACCCAAGCTCTCTTGGGTTAGACATCCTGTATAGTATAAAGGCAAAATACATTTTCTGCTTGCAGAAAAAGAGGGTTCCTGCTCACACTTATCTTTACGCCCTCTGTGAGCATGGTCCATCTCCCTCTCTGTTCTCGGCCCCAGTGTTACACTCTGTCATAACTGTTCTCCTTTGCAAAACGTAAAATTTTCACATTTCCTGTCACCATTACTTAAAGTTTCTTGCACACAATTAGTTTTATTTCTTCAGAGACTACAAAACACTTCTCTCTCTCTCTGCTCTTTTCCATTACTACAATTCCCTTTGATATCTTTTCTTTCCCTGTTGTCTTCAGGAAAGTTACAGGAGTGGGAATGAAACATAGCTGCTTTGT